GGGGGGGGGGGGCCAGGGGGGTAGGAGTCTCCAAGAGGAGGGAGGAGCGGGCGCTCTCCTGCCTATTCTCGTGGTGGGGGGGGGGGGCGGGCGAGCAGTGGGGGCAGGAGTCCCGCAGAGAACAGCATGCAGGAGGCGGGAGGGAAAAGCTGCGGTCACCGGTCACCGGCCTGAGGTGGGGCTGCGGCTGTTGGCGGCGGGAGGGGGGGGGATAGGGCCGGTGAGGCCCACCCCCCCCCACCTGTGTTGGGGACCCCAGGCCTGACCCCGCCCCCACGGCTCCGCCTCCAGATAGAGCTAAGCTGTCCAGCTGCCAAGTAATCGTCCACTGTCTGGCCGGCATCTCCCGCTCTGCCACCATCGCCATCGCTTACATCATGAAGACCATGGGCATGTCCTCCGATGACGCCTACAGGTAGCCCCGTCTTTCTTCCCTCCCGTCTCCCCCCGCCAGCAACGGCCCGGAGGGAGGGACAGGCCCGAGCGGGGGAGGGGGGGGGCTCCAGCACTCTCGGCCGGGAGCCTCGGCAGCGCTGCGCGCCCCAGCGTGGGGGAGGGGGAGCGGAGGGAGACAGGGAGGCCGGCTGGGTTGGCAGGGAGCCCCGAGCCAACACAGCCGCCCTCCTTCCCGCAGGTTTGTGAAGGACCGGCGCCCGTCCATTTCGCCCAACTTCAACTTCCTGGGCCAGCTGCTGGAGTATGAGCGCAGCCTGAAGCTGCTGGCCGCCCTGCAGGGTGACGGGGCGTCCCACCCAGGGACCCCCGAGCCCCTCCCGGGCCCTGCGGCCCCACTGCCGCAGCTGCCACCACCTACCTCAGAGAGCGCTGCCACCGGGAGCGCGGCGGCCAGCACAGTCCGGGAGGGCGCGCCCGGCGCGGGCGGGGAGCTCCCCGCGCCTTCCTCCAACCCCGCCACCAGCGCGCTGCAACAGGGCCTTCGTGGCCTGCACCTGTCCTCCGACCGCCTCCAGGACACCAACCGCCTGAAGCGCTCCTTCTCGCTGGACATCAAGTCGGCGTATGCCCCGAGCCGGCGGCCCGACGACCCCGGGCCCCCCGACCCTGGGGAGGCCCCCAAGCTCTGCAAGCTGGACAGCCCGTCGGGGGGCGCACTGGGCCTGCCCTCGCCGGGCCCCGAC